GGGGGAAAAACGGAAATTTTGGGAGGGAAAAATGGGGATTTTGGGGGGAAAAATGGGGAATTTGGGGGGAAATTGGGAATTTTGGGAGGGAAAATCAGGAATTTTGGGGGGAAAAAATGGGGATTTTGGGGAAAAAATCAGGAATTTTGTGGGGGAAAATGGGGATTTTGGGGGAAAAATTGGGGATTTTGGGGGGAAAATCGGGAATTTGGGGGGAAAATTGGGGATTTTGGGGGAAAAATGGGAATTTGGGGGGAAAAATGGGAATTTTGGGGGGAAAATTGGGGATTTTGGGGGAAAATCAGGAATTTTGGGGGGAAAAATGGGAATTTTGGGAGGAAAAATAGGGATTTTGGGGGGAAAAATGGGGATTTTGGGGGGAAATGGGGATTTTTGAGGAAAAGATTGGAATCTTGGGGGAAAACCCATGAATTTCAGGGGAAAAATGGGGGTTTGGGGGAAAAAATGGGAATTTTGGGGGAAAATTGGGGATTTTGGGGAAAAAATGGGAATTTTTGGGGGGGAAATAGGGATTTTGGGGGAGAAATGCAAATACTGGGGGAAAAATTGGGAATTTGGAGGGGAAAAATGGGAATTTTGGTGGAAGAAGGGGAATTTTAGGGGAAAAATCAGGAATTTTGGGGTGCAATGAAGGTTTTCATGGGGAAAATGAGGATTTTGGGGGGAAATGTGGATTTTAGGAGTGTAGACAGGGAATTTTTTGGGGAAAACAATAATTTTTGGGGGAAAAGCAGGGATTTGGGATGGAGAATTGGTGATTTTAGGTGGAAAATTAAGATTTTGGGTGGAAAACGTGAATTTTCAGACAGAAAAACAATAATTTTACGGGCGAAGACCAGGATTTTGGGAGGAAAACCGTGAAATTTTGGTGAAAAACCAGGAATTTTTATGGGAAAAAAGAAATTTAAGGGGGAAAACGGGAACCAGGAGGGTCCTGAGCAAACCCCAACCCCCCAATTCCCAAAAATTTCCAGCGGGAGAGGGTGCAGCCGGAGAAATTGGCCGTGGACCGACCCTCGGAGAAGCTCCTGGGCTTCCTCAGGAAACATTTCGGGCTCTGCAACCTCATCCCTCAGGTGGGGAAAGGGAAAAAATCGGGAATATTTCACATTTCGGGGGCGTTTTTCCGTTGAAAAATGGGATTTGGGGTGGGGGAAAATAATTCCCAGGTTTTTAATTTTTGGGGTTAATTAGCGGGATGAGTTTTAATTTTGTGTTTGTTCGTTAGCACAACGAACTAGAGCCCCGCGGGGGAGTGGAATTGCCGGGAATGACATGAGGGTTCCTTCTTGCTCCCCCTTCTCCAGGTGAACAATTTCGTCATCTTTGAGGGGTTCTTCTCCACCAGGAGCGGTGAGTGCGGGGCCGGGATGCCAGGGAATCCTTCTGGAACCTTCCAGGGGCTCCGGGGTGGGATTTGGGGTGGATTTTGGGGAATCCTGGGTGGATTTTGGGGAATTCTGGGTGGATTTTGAGGAATCCTGAGTGGATTTTGGGGTGAATTTTGGGGAAATCCTGGAGTTCTTCTCCACCAGGAGCGGTGAGTGCGGGGCTGGGATGCCAGGGAATCCTTCTGGAACCTTCCAGGGGCTCCTGGGGTGGTTTTTGGGGAACCCTGGGGTGGATTCTGGGGTGGATTTGGGCGTTCTCCCGGGTGAATTCCGGATCTTTCCGTGCCGCAGCCCCCGCCCGGCGCCCGTTCCCGCGGCCGCGCCC